TAGACATGATTATAACCAAGCACCTTGCCAGGACACAAACCAGAGGTGGGACTGCGGGTGTGGGGTTCGCAGCCCGCTGAAGGAGGACCCTCCTCAGATGCAGAGCTGAGGGCACCTCACCCCAGCTGCTCACGCAAAGGTGTCCTCGCTGTGGCCCGACACGCAGCTCACCTTCCAAAGTGGAAAGAAGGCTCCAAAGGAACCAGGCAGGGCCAATCTCACCACAGCAGAGCAGAGAGGGAGGGAAGGCACAGCACCTTCACACCACAGTCTTTGCACAGTAAACATGACATAAAGCTCAGCCTGAGATCTGCCAGCCCAAGAGTTGCTCCTTCTCACAGGTCTACCAGCAGGTACACCACAATGAATCCACAAGCATAAATCCATTTACGTTACGGGAGCACCTGCACTCCAAAATGAAACAGGGGCGCTTTTTTTGTCTGCATTGGGAAGCTACTTTTGCCATAAATCACTTCTGGACCTAAGAGGCAGGTAAAGGGAGGGCAAAGACACAGAACAGTCAGGCGAGGTTAAGTAGGTCAGTGAAAAGGTAACCTGCCTCATTGCCAGGACCCTGTGCTGCTGATCTGCCATCTCCTCACTCACTTATTCACAGAAAAAAAATCTGTTTATGCCTTACCACTTGACTGGAGCGGAACTCTTAATTAACATTTGCAAATTATTTTTATATCCCCAGGTAAGAGGTGCTATACAAATATGTGACATCACAAAAGAACAGCCCTCGCGTCTGAACTTCTTTAGAGTGCAGAGAAAAAGGAACTGCTTAGAGAATAATTTGCTCCTTAGTAAGTCCCTTTGAAGAAAATAATAAAAGGTGGACTTTGAAATGTCATCTGCATTTTTGACCACAGAAACATAAAAGGATATTTAGCTGGAGCATTTAAAGAATGCCAGAGCCTTTCCATGTTAGCTTTACCTTTACTGAAAACAGGATGAAGGTCAGTGTTCACTGCATCAGAAGACAACTTGTTAAAGTGCAAAACCCTCCTCAGAAAGCACTGTGCTTTGAAAAGAACATCCTCAAATACATTTTAAAGTTGCCAGTTAAACAGGATTGCAGATAACAGGTTCTGGCAACCAGCAAAGCCAAAGGATGGGCTGATTTAAAGTAACTCTGAACAGCGACCTGCAGAGATCAGCCCACTGCTGGAAAGAAATTCCTGAAGGCACTGGGCTTTCTTTTTGAACTAGTTTTGAACTACCAGCTAATGGGAGAGCTTTCTTGCATTCCTCTAGGTACAAGCAAATGGGAGACAGTGACAAATGACATTCAACATTTTTTTTATTATTATTATTTAAAAATGGCTTTAGTGAATGCCTTTGGGGTTCCACATTCTCCAGGGCAGATTTCTGCTCTACATCACAACAATGTAAATTTGGAATAATGTCAGTAAAATCAAAGGAAATATTTGGGCATTTCACAGGCAGTTCTGAGCAGACCTGGTTAAAACTGATCTAATTACAAGACGGGACAAGCAGATATTTTACAATTAGTTAAGGAGCGAGGGGAGCACAGTAGGTTGCACACTCTGAAAAGCATGTTGTTTTGATCAAATTTGCCTTTATCACATTCAAGCTGGAGGCTTTAAGGCACATAAAACTACTCCCCAAAATATTTTAAATATTTCTTTATGTTTTACACATTTTATGCATTTCCTGCACCAAGATACCACCTTATATTTCCATTAACCATATGCATATGAATCCTAAATTATACTGTGAGCAGAATTTCAGTCTGCTGAGGAGAGCCATGATACAGGTAACTGCTAATCTCAGCCTAAGAGATCTGTTGAGTTTAATTGCTGTTAAGAGTTCACATCCATAAACATGGATGTTTATTTCCTCTCCTCATGATTTGCTTGGTTTTCTACTTAAACTGGGAAACATATGGAGAGTTAAAACATTGTCTGCCGTGACACACGCAATGTCTGGGAAGGAACACTGATGTTTCACATTAATGCTGCCTCACATTCACATGCCAGCTCCTAGTCTAAGTGAACTAAAAGCCTCAATAATTGCCTTAAAGCCCTGCTTGACATCCTTGTGACCACGATTCAACAGTCCTGATTCTACTGTTTGCTTCTAAAATTAAAGCATAATAATATCTTCATTTCCTTGGTTTGCCCTTTATGATGCATACCTTAGCAGATGAAGATCTTTCAGATGTGAAAGACAAACATAAAAGTACTCAAAAGTGTCTTTAGATGATGCAACCTTGTGACACTGACAGTTCTGCAATTAGCAATAGCAGTTTTGACCTGGAGAATTTCTGTGAATTTGCAGTTTCTTTTCATTCTACCTTCAGCCTGCACTAGACTGCATAAACTAGTGTTAGAGTTGAACAACCAAAGCCAAATAAATTTTAATAAAATAGACTTTTAAAGGAAAAAACCCCTTTTTTTCTTTCTCCTCACATTTTTTTCCCTGCATACCCTATCCCTAGTCCATCTTGTGCTCTTTGATAAGATACATCTTTCCTACAGAGTTAATTTTGATCACTCGGACTCAGCCAGCTATGTGGCAGCTTTCAAGGTTTGATGTATCAGGCTGTAACTTTGACAGAGCAGCCAACACACTGAGCAACTTGGCATGACAGAAACATGAACTTGAATTAAATACTGGTGACTTATCAGGACCCTGTTTGGAACAAACCCTGAGCTGGCAGTCAGGCCCAAGGCCCAGTAGCTCATTGAACACACTGACCAGAATATTCAACAGCTTGTTTAAGGATCCTCCTCTCTAAACAAATATTAACCCATGCCCTGGGAAAGTTCCCTGCTAACACTAACTACTGACAGATTTGTTTTCCAAAGGAAATATTTCAAAATGCACATATTTTTTTCCTCTTTCAAGTAATTCTTGATACTCACTTTCTTTTCAAGGATTTTAACACTTACCAAAATTGTAACAAGAGTAGCAGTGCCTTGGTTAAAGTTCTCTGTATTTACCATTCAGTTCCTCAGGTCAGATGCTTGTGCTGGAGTCAGTACAGTACATTTTAGAGGTAAGAACCAAGCCATACAGTGGGATGCAAACAGCAATGGGGTTAAGTTCTAATTATTGCAATAAAGCAGTCCCCCATAGTGAGAGAACATCCTGGGAAATGAAGTCAACATGTCAGAAAGCTTCTTATTTCTTTATGCAAATGAATTTGGGTAATTGTAGCCTAAAATTTCTTCCACTCTGGGCACGCATCTGGTATTTTATCAGTTTGAAGAAACAAAGTGTTTCCTTCCCTTGGCTACAGCTCCTCACTGGTCTCTCTGAGTCAAATAAATCTCCACAAAGGAAGATGAAGTCTGTGGCTTGGGTTCTATATAATAAGAGAGTCACTGGGTTGACCTTACCTCCAAACACTGAAAGACATTTTTCTCACTGGAGGATTAAATATACTAACATGGAGGCTGAAGATTTCTTTTTCTTCACAGCCACCCTCTTCCCTTAAAACACCCAGGCCCTCCTGAGCAATTACTCAGCACCCCACAGAATGGAGCCACAGGACACCCACAGGGTCTTAAGTCCTCTCAGAGCTGACGTCCTTGGGAAGTGCACTGGAAAAGGTGCACGTGTAAGTCTGAATTTCAGCTTTGCTGACTACCCACTACATTTTACCTAAGGATTTACACGTACATAAAAACTTGAGAGAAAATAAACAAATTCTGTGTCAACTGAGCTTCCCAAAACCTGCAACTGTGTTTGACTGGGTACCAATAAAACCACTTTTCTGAGAGCTGTTAGATTGTTGAGAAAGAACAAAGCTAAGTGCTACAAAAATACCTTAGAAAGCTGAAGAAGATTTTTTTCCAGCCTTGTACCACACTGGTGTTTTCAGACACAGACACCAGCCATTTTTCTTGATTTACCAAGAGCTCTCAGTTGTTTCTGCCACTCAACAATTACTTGCTCCTGGACAATTTTTTTCCTCTCTTCCAGACCAAAGTCAGCAACATCCCTGGACTGTAACTTTGCTTTATAGCCTTGAGCCAGCTCTGAAAGCAGTGGATTGTTGCAGTGAGAGATAGATGGTTCTTGGGTACCAAGGAGCAGAAGAGCTTGGGAGAAGCTGTCCAACTCTGAAAAAAACAAGCACACATACGTTACAACAGTGACAGGAGAAAGGTGTGTTTTTCTTACACAGGGAGAGATTAAACCCTGGAATGCCCCCTCCTATTGCCAGATTCACCTCACACAACAACAGGCACAAAGCAGGAAGTCCGTGCCAGTACCAGAGGAGATGCTGCCAGGCATTCCACCTTATTTTTTCCCCAAACTAAACAAGCTAAGAAAATGAAAAGGGAGTGTCAGAGATACTCTCTGAACCACATCTGGTGTGGATGTAGTCATGGAAAACTGCGGGAATGTCAAGAGCTGACTTAAGGGCTTGAAAAGCAGCCTTGGAATGTGAGAGTGAAACAGACTCAGAGACGTCTTTTAGCAAAGGAGAGGTGCAGAGTTCAACCAATTATTTTGATGCACAGAAAAATGGTGGGAGCTTTACTCCTCTGATCCAACAGCTGGATGCCTTTCTAAAAGATGCCCTTCTTGGTGTGGTGTGGTGTGTTCAGGATCAGATTGCAGATTCACAGGAAAGGTTGTCCTGCTGAGTTTTCTTTGTGTTTCTTTGCAACTCTGAAGCATGCTTTGCTTCCAGAAAAATTTCATCTCCTGACAACCTAATCATACCCCACCTTCTCTGTGGCACAACAGCTTATTTCTGGCTCACTTCTATACAATTCTGACAGACCAGTTTGGATTTGTTAATACAGGGGAGCAGAGTGGGGATGTGTGCTCCCCATTTCCACTGATAGAAAGGAATGGATGAATACCAGCTTGGATTGTATGACTATGCTCTTTCCGGTAATAAAACATCTGTGGTACAGCAAAGAAAGACAGAAAAAAACTGGTGCAGGGATATGGTATACAATTCAATAAAAATTACAAGTTCCTAACTCTAGAAACAGATCACCAACACACTCAGATAGGTTTACCCACTCTGCATAGCCTTTAATAGCCCTCACCAGAGAAATTAACTTCCTAGATAAACACATTTTTTAAAAATAACACTAATTACATTCTGACAATTTTGGTGTGTTTGAGTAGAAAATAGAACTGTTACATATTCATTAGACATGGAACAACTCTAAGTGTTGTGCCACACCATTAATACTTATTTTACTGTCTTTTTTTTCTTTCCTGTAAAAAAAGCAATACAATTTTTCAAACCATCAGTTCGCATTACTAAAATAGAAAAAAAAAAAGAACGAAAACATGATAGGTGAAAATGAAACACAAAAGGCCTTAATTCAGTGAGTAATAACTTACATAATTTAGTACAACAGGGCAGGAGTCCTCTCACTGAGGTCAAAAGAAATAATCCCACGCTTTAAGTTAGCTCTGTACCCACACACCTCGCTGCCGTTTCCAACCAATTCTCACTTGGAGGGAGGATTACTGGAATCTCTGTTCTCCCTCTACCTTTTGCTGGGGTTTATCAGAGCAACAGAATGAGACATATGGTCTTCTCCTAAGAGCCCACTTTATTTGCACCGGGAAATAAACACGCCAGTCTCGACCGGGACAGATGAGGTGAACACACAATGCCAGGGCAGTCTCCGGCAGAGATGCAGAGCGCGGTCCTCGGAAATCATAACTAGTAAATACAGAGATTAAAACCAGTAATGCCTCTGTGTGCGCAGCAGCTGGGTGAAATGAATCACCTGGACAAGAAATCAACAGAGCCTGCCAGTGCCTTTTGTCAAATTAAGAGTATAAAGCAAGAAGACACTGTGTACAAAGCAACGCAGCAAAGCAGCAGCCGCTTGGATAATGTTTTACTGCAAGAGCAATCTGCATAGCAAAGGCTACTGAGAATTAATCTTGTTTTCTAAATATATTTAGTGTTTGTACACAATGTTTCATTTACACTGGGAACGGGTACTGTGTACCTGCAGAACTTGAAATAGTTTTGTCGATTCCCTAGGACAGCCAGCTGCAGGAAATGATTTACTATGAACATACCACTCACAAAATAAGTTATGCTACAGATTTACAGCAATTCAATACAAGCAAAGCAAAACACTGCTTTTTGAAGGGCATCACAGAAGACTATCTTTTCAACTGCTGAAATAAAAATAAATGCGTTTTTTCACATCAGTAACAACCTCTCATGCATTTCCACATAAAAGCTTCTTAAGCTTTGAAATGGTGTATTTAAGCTAATTGTTTTATCTGCTAAAAGAAACAAAAAAGGTAGGAAAAATTGTCTTCTTTCTCTTTACCTTTTCTCCATTAGAACACTTGGTGCATTTTCCTACATAATTACCTAAAATAAGCTTATCTACTTTAAAAATGTAACGACTGAAATATGCATTTACCTCTTGCCATTCCTTTTAAGCTGTAAAATCATATTCTGAAGCCACTAAGAGTAATGTGACATCTGTGAAATGATGCATTTTGTTTCTAATGCATGCACTCAGCTGCAGATTTGACTTTGAAGTACTTAATTCTGAAATATCTAAAATAATCCCATGTCCCAGAGAAATGACACTAAAGCATCCAGAACTCTGCTTTCGTTAGGAAAGGGTCTCGGTGAGAAATGGACCAGACACATCTCATCCTTTTCAGTTCTACTTTGTTACCAGCTTCCCTGTCCTCACAGAAGCTACACAGCATCTTTGCTTCACACCATCCCAAGGCTCACATGAACCTGGAAAGGAAAGAAGGTAAGAGAGTTTTAGGATGAGGTGTCTCCAACAGCAGATGAGGTAATGGCATGCAAAGTGGAAAGGCCAAGCACAGAGCTGTAACCAAAGATTAGTGTCTTGTAAGAAGGTGGCCATTTTGTATTTATGCTACAATTTCCACTGCCTCATTCTTGTCCTCCTCATCCTATTATTCCTAAATTCTGGGGCAAGCCACACAATCCCTCTTACAGTTTGACCACAGGATTGTTTCAGCATCCACAATACACAGAGCAACGTGACATGGAAACAACAGAGAGAGGCTGCAGCTTTGACTTAACCCACATCTTTGAGCTATGGGTGAGGAGGGAAAGGTAAAACCGTCCCAGACTCACACCCATAAGAAAAACAGTAAGGTTTTTCTCAGGCAGCCATGCTAAGATTTTCTCTGAGCCTTGGCAATGTCTCCAACACTGTCACAAAAACAGAACTGGAAAAAACCACCGTTTTCTTCTTGCAATACAGTCCATTTTTTACTTGAGCACTGCAGCCATCCACCCCCATTTACCAACTTCTTGCTTTGCCTGTCTTACTACCTGCATGATCTCAGCAATTGATTCCAGAGACAGCAAGAGAAGACAAGGCATCTCATCACCCAGAGCAGATATCACATCCAGAGGATAAACCTGTTTGCTTGGCATGCTCTTAACTATTGGTGATTTACTTAATCAGGTCTCACAAAGAAGCAAATTAAACCCACAGCTATTAGAAACAATGACTGCTTTTTAACAGAGACAATAACTTTGCCCAGGCTGGCTGAATCCATTCACTGTCTCTGTGACTTCTCTCTGGTTTGTTTCTGTAAGGCTTTTTAGTAAAATTAATACTATTGCAAACTCACTCCTTGACTCTGCCAAGAAAACAACATGACCATTAATTGTAGTGCCATTCATGCCCAGAAAAGTAAATTCACCATCTATTACAATAAAAAATAAAATCTTAAGGTATCCCAAAATTTGGGGTGTTATTTGAAGTTTTATTTTCTTCTAATAAGCATATAAATCAAAACCAGAACCACAGGGCAAGATACTAAATGCTTAGTTATTGGTGAAATATTTTACTAATGGCTCAGACTTGATGAATATTTTAAAAAAACCCTACTCATTTTGCTTAAAAAACATTTAAAAAGTTCTCAACACGCTGGCAGCAGAAATATATTATAAAGTGAAAACTACCATTTAAATAAGGAAAAAATAGAGCCAGCCAGGCAGGGACATTGGAGGGAGACAAATTATGAAGTCCTTGTCAACCCCACTGAAGCAGCAGCAGCACTGCTACTGTCAGAGCCAAGTTATGGCACCACCCTGCTAAGGACTACAGACAGCAACTCCAAATCAAGAGAGACCACGTTTCGCCCAAAAAGCAGGACATGCTTTTGTACCAGGACTTTCCCCACGAACAACGCTCATTAAAATGTTCAGTCTGTGTCACGGGTATATTGTAAATGGTAAATCACAGACACGCATATTTTCTGGCCAAATTACCGTAAAATTCCTATTAACTGCCATTTGCTTCCGCTGGGAACTTGGTACTAACTCTTCTACAGAAATATTATATACACACTTCTTCTCTCTCCCTAAATAGTCTTTAATGTTGCAATATCAATGATCATCAGTAATCAAGATCCAAGATCATGGGGTATTTTCTTCTAAAAAAAATAGGTTTTTCTGTAGGTACAGTACAATTCCAAAGCCTGGTATCTCTGGGATGTGCATGTTAATAAGAACATGGAAGTTAAAATGAGTATTTCCCCAGGTTCCCATGGGAACACCACCACAACACTTCTAGATCTGGATAGTTTCAAGCTACTGGGTTAAACACTTAATAAAACATACCTAAAAAAGCTATTCCTAGATTTTTCTGTGACTTCCCAATTACCAGCCTGAATGATTCCATGATTCTCTACTTGTTACAGAAGAATAAAAGCATAGAGGGAAGTTGCATTCATAAATTGCCATCTCTTCCTTAGAAACTCTATCCACACACTGCATGCAGATTCCTGACCGTGTACAACTGCATTCCTTCTCTCCCTATGCTTTCCATACGCATCAGGACTTGCAGCCTAAACCAGAACTTGCTGATGTCCACAAGAGGCTTTCTTTTGATTGCCACTTCATTTCCCTTGAGTGACTTGACTATGGAACAGATCCTGTCTTCTCAGGATCACTGATCTGTTAGCAATAATTACAACAGACTAGCTGCCAAGTTAACCAAAAAGTTGATGAAAATAGAATTCTCCTTTTGAAATTAAAAATATCAGGGGTTCTTACATGAAATAGCAAGAAAGCCTTGGTAAGCATTAAACAAACAGACGAGATAAAAAATGTGTTAGACACTTATAACACTTTATACAAATGTACCCTATTAATACAGAGATTTCTCAATTGCACTGATTTTTAAAGAAACAAATCCCCAAAGACATAAGAAGTAGACTAATAGAATTATATCTACTGTGCTATTTTTTAAAAATCAGAAAGATAAATAAAATTAGAACTTAATCTAGAAAACCACGGGGATAACATAAATTAGGTTCTTGGGAAAATACAGATTTGGACAATAAGAGAAGCTGTGTTTCAATTAAAGTCTTTGATCATTCAAGATAAGTATACTGGAAAATAACATTTTCTGCTTTATTTGATTTCTTTAGGAAATAATCTATTTCTTCTCTGTTTATACCCAAAGTACCAGAAAACCCACCCCAAAAAGACACAACTGAAGTCTCCCACTGTTCCCTTACTGAACACAAGCTTTTCTCCCATCTCTGAAATCAGAATTTCTTGTATCAGTTACTTCATCCACATTGTACATTATATATGCTGCTACAGTGCTCTAACATTTCAATTTGCTCATGATATTTTCAACATTTCTTTATAAGAATACACAAATGAAAACTGTCTGTTTACTGAATGATAAAACAAACTCTATCCTCCCTCTAAACAAAGTCTTCATTAATCTTGCATAGACTTCAGTTCCTTATTGCATAGAAAACAAAATAAATACTACTGATGTCTGGAAAGGTATCCTGCAAAGAGAAACTTCAGGATATTTATTTCATTTCTTAGACTGAAAGTAAGATTGGAACTTGACCCTTTCATATAATACCTTTTTGTAAGGTGCAGACACAGACATAAAATACAGCATGTGGAGATTCAAGCCAAGTTGGGAATAAAACACAGGTTCTTTTAAGCAGGAGAGGTAATTAGATACCAAGATAACTTACCATGGGAAGTAGCAAGTCTACTAACACAGAGTCATCGAATCAAATTTTCATGTCTCTCACTAAAAGATACACTCTGATATCAGCACAAACTCTTGACTCTACAGCATTCAGTCCCTCAGTCAACCCTCTGCACTCCAGAACAAAAGCCCAAAGGAGCAGGAGTTGCACAAATCCACAGAGACCTGGTGACCAGCAGCACAAAACCGTGTCTGCTGTCAGTCCATTCCTCCTCGGTGACACTGCAGTGACAGCTTCAAAAGCAGAGGTTTCAACAACTCCTCATGTTCCTCACCATGACAAGAGGGAAACAGACCTACTACTAACTCCTATAGGAATAACAGGATTAGACACATGGAAACAAACTATGGTGCATTTTACCATTCTCAAACCACTGTCTTTTAGTAGTTTTGAAAATCCCAAGGGAAGCAGTGGTGAGAAAACCCATGCAATTAAGTTCTGTTGACTACATGAACTATGGAACAGGCTCTCACTGCCCTGAGTGAAATAAAATGGTTTCAACAAGGATCTTTGATGGGGGGGTCCCTCTGTTGCCCATACAACCAGTCAGGATCAAATCAGTCAGAGCCCAGAAGCACATCAGCCTTCTACTCAACCATGGTAGAACCCATCAAGCAATACACAGGTGGCAAAAATAAATGTTATAAGCCCTGTGATGGGCACAATAGTTAACTGTACTTTAAATTATGGATGGCCACCAACTGAGACATTGGACCAGAATAAAATATGTACACCTGTAATCATGATTGTCCTCTTCAGAGCACTTGTTAGCAAACAGTTATCTTCAGGGATTGTTTATACTTAAAACTATTCATTTATGCTGATATTTCAGATTGGACTTAAAATATTAGCACCTGTACTTACTGTATTCTGGAAACATTCGACTGAAAGAACAATCTGCATTGGAAAAACTAAGGCAAAATGGATATACCCTGAAACGGACTTCAAAAAAGCAAACTGCCACAACACATCATTGTACACTTCAAGCTATGACAGTCTTGTCACCATGGTATTTCAGGATTTGGTTACCAGCAATAAACAAAAAAAAAAGATTATGGGTTTTTTTGAGCACACTTATCAGACAATGGTTATAATTATTTTATTGAGGAATTAGCAACAACTATCTTGCAGCCTGAAAGTTCTTTAAAAGTTTATGAAGATTTGGCATCAGTAGCAGACCCACTTACACTGTGCAAGAAGGAAAATAAACCATCAGGACACAGCAAGCACTGAACATTTTCAGTGCACGTCCCAGCCCCAGAAGACAAAAGAACCATTTTTCTTGCGTCGCAGTTTGTCACCCTCCCAGCAGAGACTTGCAGATTTACACGGGAGGTGAGACAATACCAACCCAATCTTAAAATATCTCAATCATTCAGTCTTTTTCCTTGGCCCAACTTGTCACTTATCTTCACAGATCGCAGCAGTTTCACCGGGATGCTCCGTCTTCAATTTCTTATGAGGTGGCTCCCTGGGGAGCAGAGCTGTGCAGCGCTCTAAGGATCGAGCAATTTCATCAATCGTCCATTTGTCCTCGTGAAGGGCGTGTTCCTCCAGCGTGAACGGCCCCTGCTTGGTGCGGGTCAGCTCTTGCATAGTGGCACAGGTCGAGAGTTCTGCAGGAAGAAAGAGAGGAACTGGAAGAATTGCAGGGATAAACTTTAAAAGCATAACCATCTGCAGCTCACTTAAAACGTATTTTTATGTGCAGCTTTCTAGGTTATTCTGCTTTGTCTGAGAAGGAAGTTGACGAAGGTTTATCACACTTCCATGTTCTTTAATGTGAGACAAGGAAGTCCTTTGATTTCAACAGATCTCCAGAGCAGTAAAGAGTTCAGAATCTGACAGAAAGTTGTCAAAAATTTTCCCAGATTTAGAACAGAATGAAAAGAGAGGAGGTAATGTCATAAGATGTAAACAGAACATCCTGCATTCACAAGTGACCGTGAACTATTTCTCCAGAGATTTTGAGGCCTTAGCACTTCTTGCCTTCAGGAATAATTTTTGATATTTTTATCCTGTGCTGCCTATCAGGATAATATAAACTAGGATAAGGAAAAATGAAAAAATATATAAAAATGCTCTGCTATGTTAAATAAATACCAGCAGGACATAATTACATAATGAGAGGGAGAAAACATACCAGCAACCAGAGCTGACTTGTAAGTGCACAGGTACATTAAAATACTCTCCCATCCCTTCTGATGCAGGAAGATTTTCATTGCATCTTCAATTTTTGAAAAGAAACCAGCTGCAGACAGACTTAATCTTGGTTTATCATTAAAAGGCTAAACATAAGCCAGTATGCTCAGAAGGCAGTAACAGAAACTTTGACTTGCCTAAGCACAAATAACAACATTGAAATTCATAGGGTTATCCTCTATTACTTGCCTTCTTGATCTACAAATGTATAATTTAAAAAAAAAAAATCTGAAATGGATTATCTATTCTCCATCATGCAGTTTGATAGATAGAGAGCACAAGACAAATAACCCTGTGGGAAAGCAAAACTATTCACAGTTCAGGCAAAGCAGAAAGAAAACACTAGAAAAATCATCACCAATGTAGAAGTCTTTCCAGCAGATAGGGTTTATTATGTGCATGGTAATGTTCTGTTCAATCTTTTTTCAAAATGTGATGAATAATGTTTAAAAAGACAGTGTTCTTTCTTCTTCTTCTCATCCTTAAGCTGAGTTAGCCTTAACACATGGAGGAGGAAATAAAAAAAAATCCCCACCTTGCCTTGCATTATCTTGCTGAGTGCTACTGCCTGCTCCACTTTTATCCTCCAGCCCCCAAGGTCCCCTGGCAATTATTTAGCCTTCATTCCCCCCATGCTCCCAAGGAAATTACCTCAGTACATAAAAACAAGTGAAAGCACTACAATTCTGCAAAATAACACATGGGTCTATTTCCTGGAGATATGCAAATTGACAAAATTTTTCCATAAACACACACTCACTCCTTAAATTGTCATGTGTTGGTTTTTTTCCATACCTACCTTTGCCAATGTCACTGACCAGGCTCCTGACATAAAAGCCCCCACCACATTCAACATCTGGAACGTTAAAAGTGACACAGTAAATTGCCAGTGCAATGTGAAATCTACTTTACGTAGAAACCATGCCCCCCACATAAATGTAAAAATGAGCTAAGCAAACAACCCAGTGATAAAATATTTATAGGATGCACCATCAATTATTCATCCTGTAACATATGTGCGGGTGAGATTGCTAAGCCAGACAGGAGGGAAAGCAAATAAAATGGCAACTGAACTAACTCACTGGAATTTAAGTACTTGCTGTGGTATGTGAACAAATGCTTCAATCCTATTCATTTTAAGCATTTCAGAAGGTTGATTCATATTTCTAATGATGAAGGCAAGTTATTTCAAGAACTGCCTAAACTGACTATCAGTGCTTTTAAGATACTGCAGGCAGGCAGCTGCATAAAATTTTAAAATTCACCTTTAACTTTCCCTGCTATCTCAGGTCTTCCCTTCCCCCTCTGCCAGTGATCAGCTACTAGACACTCAACCAAAAAGTAAGAGCTGAAGTAAGACAGCAGTGAGCTCTGTCACTCAGATCTGCTCAGCATGTAAGATCTGGTCCATCAGAGGACCACAGGTAACTAGGTAGGCAGATTAATGCAAGACATTATCTTGACCTTACAGGGGCATCAAACATTTACAACAGTCTTTTTGGTTTATTTATTAATGTGCTTCTTAATGTACTACCCAAGTTTCTTGATGTATGACAGAAGGAAGGATAAGATCCTGCCTCCTCAACCAAGAAAGAGGTCTGACAGTAACTGATCCTGGTCCCTGCTGCACTCTGGGAGAGATGCCAGCAGGGCTGGGCATCTGGGTAAAAGAATGGGCAAAGTGGAGGAAGCAGACCTGAGAAAGGAATGAGCTGGAGGCTGCAAAACCATGGACAGATGCAAATAATCCCCTGACCAGTCTCTCAGAATTTTCCCTCACTGAAAGATTAGATATAATCAGCTTAACTTAAACCCAAAACACGGTGCTTTTAACGCAAAGTGAAAGTCTCTGCCCATGGGCTCACACCAAAATAAGCAGTTGAGTGAAATGAAACCCATTTCACTATCTTAGTCCCATTGTGAGTGTAAATAAACATTAGCAAGCTGGGAGCATTGCTCTGTGTAATAAACTTTGACCTTTACCCAGCGTGAACAGTGGTGGCTGGAACTGCTGGAGAGAAAGGCTGTACACTCTCACTGGCCGAGCAGGCTTTGCTTCAACTGCTTTTCCCCTCTTCATCAGAGTAGAAAGCCTTTCTCCATCCTTCTTCAGAGCAGAATAGCTGATCAGACAGAGCATGAAGATGTGTGTCATACGGTTGTAATAGAACAAGCTTCCCATTCTCCAGATCCTGTTAATATTGGACTGGAGTAGCATTTTACTCCTCTCCATGTACTCACAAAAACCCACAAAATCTTTTGGACACAGAATCATCTCATTTGCCACCAGCTCTATAAACTGGAAAAGAAGAGATGGTTCTATTTTCATCTCTTGCCGTACAGATTTAAAAGTGTTTCAGCAGTCAATTTGCAGTTTATGAAATAAAAGGGTTTCTATCAGGGTTACAACACTTGCATCTGCCTCTTAACAGCCTGTCTCTCAGAAGTCTGCAGGGCATGCTCTGTCCCAGTGTTACACTGAGCTGAGCAGTGGGAGTCGCTCAGGCAGCTCCTGCAGTTCTGCATCGCTCCTTTCCTTGTCTCTCACCAGGGTCTCTCCTGAACAGCAACTGCTGTTCTAGGATGTTTAGGGAACCACTATGGAACCAAAGAAATTGATTTCACTCATTACATGGAACTTCATCCAAAGCCCCAGTTTGGGTCGTGACAGAAAGATGACCACAGAAAAATCAAAAAAGGTCTCGCTCAAATTAATAGAGGGCAATTTGAAACAGGTCACATGAAGCAGAACATGGACAGAGCTCCAGACCTTACAGGGCTCACACTGGAGCCACAGCAAGTGACATATGGCAAATGCAAAGGAACGCATGTTAGCTGAAATCACCATAAAAGCCATCTGTCACAAGCCAAGTGCCTGCACACTGCCAGCTACTGTGGCTCACCTGACCAGAAGAATTTGCTCAATCACTCATCACTCATTCAAGCTTCTAAGGTTGCAGAAAACTAATTCACAGTCATTTAAGGCACTTCCACAGAGATGTCAGTAAGATGGGAAGGCAGGACAGGAGCCACCAAGCCCTGCAAAGTTGTCCAAGACTTTTGCTACTTTGCATTTACCCAAAACACCCACAGACTCCAGGTCACCATTTGTGCTTGATCTTCAGATGGGCATGACCTGCACTTGCAAATGTTAAACTCCTGACTGCCTTGCCTCTATCCCTTTGCCAAAACACATCTCAATATTTCCAGGAGAACTGACTTCTGTTGGCAAGTCCTGACAGCTGAACACAACTGTCAAGACTGACTGAATATTGTGGTACTTACAGTGGGGGGACTTGCATGATGTGCCCCGTGAACTTTTGCAGCACATTTTCAAGATCTCCTTTTGTTACCTGGTCTGCAGGAAGAAAACAGCCAGTATGTTAGTACTGATTATTCACATAGCACTAATGGCATCAGTCACGTTCTGCAAACGGATACAAATCAGAGTTCCCTCTCATCTGAATTTAACTTGGGTGAAAAACACCAAAGAGAAGAGAAAAAACAAAATGTAGGTAGGAGTGTGAATTATCACAAAAAGAGGGGAACAAATGTCCAAGGTGATTAAGACAGTCTGGACACTTTCAGAAGGGCAGGAATTCTCATATACACAATTTTCTTTTGCAATTTCCCTCTCTTGGAGCTGCAAATCCATCTTTCTTGGGAACTAGACAAAAACTACAACATTTGGTACATTCTAATTTTTGTTAGAGCATCAAAAAGAATAAAATGCTCATCTAACTTTGGGAGCTTCTCTTTAAAAGTACCTAACTGCTGGGGAAAACACAAGAGATTGTTAGAGAACTAAACCACTGGGTTTTGTGGGTTGGGTTGTTTTTTTTAGTGAAGAAGACTGTATCTGGAACAACACATCAAATTTCCCTGTCAGACTTGCAAATACACACCAGGGTATAGCTACATATTAAGTAAGGCAGTTTTACTAAAGAAATCCTGTAAAAGAAAGAGAGCTGTTTCAGGCAATCTATTTTAAGAGTACACATACACACCTGCCCCACTTTTATTAAAAGGCTATAACCTAAGTAGTTGATTACATTGGTCCTTTGAAGCTCTATTCAACAGAAATTACATTCATCCCTAATTTGTTTAGAGAGTGCAAACACAAGATCTGTGATCACAAAGCACTTCAGTGCATTTCTACTGTCTAGGGCTTCACTAGTCCTGTTTCTTATAAATTATATTCAATTAGTGTCACCCTGCTAAGTCAACAGGGTTCTGGAACAGAAACCAAGCAAATTTATTTATTGAGCCTTCGTTATATTTTGGAATAGATCTTTAACTGCAAACCTTACAGAACAGATGTACTTCATGCTGTAAGTAAGAAAGATGAGAATTATTTTCCCAGCAGCTTTAGGAGATGGTATTGTGGTACCTCAGTGTTACAAAGCACACTTTGCAGCCTCAAGAGCAGATATGTCCCTATGCCCAAGCAGCTGTCCCAAGAAGTGTTTTAACAGCAAGGTTGGAAGGCATAAGGCACAAAATTCAGTCAGGGATGCTGAGAAAGACCAATTTACCTCAGAATACGGACTAGGAACAGCAAAATCTATTGTATACTAAGTCTGAGTCTTCTGAAGAGTTTCCTACATTGTTATTTCAATCTTTTGTTTCTATTTAGCAAATTTCTATATCACCACAGAACTACATGGTGGAAAGTTAGCATGACCCAGCACTATGACAATGATCCTGTCAGCCTTCTTGTGAACATCAAGTTCTTTCACGTTAGAATTCAGTATTTAAGACCTAAGCATAAGTGTCCCTGGGGGTTCTCTTTCCAATTTTCATCCCATGAACTGTATTTGTGACAAGGGCATTTAACGAGAGGCCCAAGTTCAGTTCTGGCACTGATCTCATGTTCCCCTGATTGAGAGGTTACGTGCAGCTTCAGAGGAAGTCACTCGTGATCACAGGCAACCTCTGTCTCAGGAGATAAACAAAAAATCCCCTCGTGAGGAATGATGCATTAAGCCATTAACAAACAAAAGTTGTGTGGCGTGTAATCAAAGTAAATATTTACAGACAAGTTTGCTAAGATCTAGAATAAATCATATTTGTCTTCTGCAACACATCATGGCACAAGCTGGCCAGTATTACATTCTGAAAATCTACACCCATGTGGTTTGTTGTTTGTTTTTTCACAGCAACACTGCCTTTGTGTTAATGGATTGTATTGGATTCTTGTCCTCTCCTAGAACAACATACAAGCCAATGGAGCTTTCTTTCCAGCACTCCGGAATGTTTTATTACTCTTCTCCCAAACTGTTTAACTATGTCTAAACTGTGTGTTTGTCCCAGGCATCAGTTTGGACCTGTGGTTCTGCAGGGCTCTCTGAACCATGCTTCAGCTCCCAGTCATTACACCCACAGCACAGGCAGAGAGGAATGTGGTCCTGTTGCCCAGAACTCTTGCCCTTCAGGACCCTGGCCACAGGTCTTCCTCACCCAGCTGTGGGCTTGGGTTTATGTTAACAGCTTGTCTGGTCAGCAAGTTGAGGGCAGCATTTGGACTCAACCCGTCCATCAACATGAAATAGGAACACACCCATAAAGGTGAATTAGGATGAGAAGTCCCAAAACGTGCTGTTTGACTTTCTTGTCCACTCCCTGAGAGTAAAGGGTTGAGAGACATTTCTGCAGGACACCTCTGTCACTGCCCTTGCTACAGAGAGCAGCCTATTCCTCCCAAGGTCCTCATTCCAAATACCCTTAATCTGCTGTATTGCAGATGATGAGTCTTAGCTGGAAGTTGGCCTCAAAACTGCACCTCTGTCTCCTTCCAGGGAGGGGTGTGGAGGCTGCCACCCTGATTCACAAAGATTTCACTAAGGACTTTCAAGGTTTGGTTCACGGGATGACTTCATCCAGTCTCCAGGAATAATGAAAACCTCAGAGCAAAAAGATTGTACCTGCTCTCTGGGGACACCACTTGGAATACATTCCATTCAAGGCTGTTTTCTGAATTTCCTCCTAAGCCCTTAGACTGGCAGAGTGGTTCTGTGATTTCTGCACAGGCTCTGCATCTTCCAGTGGACCATTCCTTACAGATCTTACCAGCATCCCAAAGTACCCAGAACTTCTGGCTTCCAATGCTCCTTAAAACATTTAATATAAGGCTATTAGCTTCTAACAACAAAAATTCCAAAGAACAGTTGTGTGCTTCTGAACACTGGTGACTGTTGATTTTTTTTTCCTGCTATAAAGGAAAGAAAATAAAATTACCAAACCATAAGGTGCCAATTGTGCCACAGCCTCAAGAAGCCTCCACTGAAGGCTTGTTAAACAGAACTCAAGAATTATTCATGGCAGTGTAACACAAGTACAGCAGATGATCTCAATTCCACCTGGCCTGGCACAAATTATTTGAAAACAGACAAGTAGAATGCTGAAATTACTACATTTTCCACATTATTCAGGTAGCTCTATTAAACATGTATTTCAGCATAATCAGCAGAGACCTGCAGAAAATCCTCATTAATTCTGTTCTCCATGTCTGGATATGGCCTGTAGGCAGCTGGGAGGAAGTGGGTTTCAGAATGCACATCCCTGTGCATAGTTACAAATATTAAAAATGGGTTACAAACACTAATGTGCTCAAAAAGATGCCAGAAGAACTCTAAATGCTACGTGCTTCCAAAGTCAGCATCTCATAGCCTAGCAGCAGGATGAAACCATCACCTAATTTCAGGTGGAAATGCAAACTCGTCTGATAAGAAACAACCAAAAAAGTACAAGAAGTTCAGGAGGAGTTAAAACCAAGGAATTCTTTTCAGAAAATCCTTTCATTGTGACTAACTGTACAGTTTGCTTCCTCAGCTGCTGTCTAGGGACACTCTTGAGGACTAAAATGTAACACTTCCTTATAGTTAAAGATAGCTGGCATCTTTCTGCTGGCACTTTCCTCTTGTGGTCCAAAGGAGTCATTCAAGAAGAGTTTTATGTAACTTGAAACTGGTTTAGTGCCCTTTCTCTGCAATAAGGCCCCATCCTGGATGCTGCTGGCACTGCAGGACTATGTTCCCTAGCAGATGCTCTGCTCCTCCCAAGATCCTTGCAGGTATCAAAGGAAAACTGCAATTCAGCTCAAATATCTGGGTTTGGAGTACCTATAAAGGGTTAGAGATTAGGGGTGTTGGGCCACCCAGAGTATTCTGCAGAAAACCAAGCTGCTTTGGAGAAGATGAGAAATATTAGAAGGGGAGGATGGAAGGAAATACAAAATATGTAGGCACCATGGAAAACAAAAAAGGAATGAGCATGTTCTCTCCTTTTCTTTCTGAAGAAATCAAATCTGGCTGATTTGCACCACCATGGAAAGCAACTGAGACCAATTTCATGAGCATTTCTGCTCTTAGTTTCAGCAAAAGAGCCATACCGTTCTTCATGAGACTGCTTGAAGAACTGGAAATGCAACTGATCTTGGTTTAAAATTATTAGCAACTCAAAAAAATGGGTGTTTTTAACCCAAATAAGCTCCCCAAGCACACAGTTTAACAGAAAAGCTAAACCACCGTAACAGAGGAGGTGTTGCAGAGGTGGGAACTACTGTAACAGCAGAGACAGTAAGAGAAACAGACTTGAAAACAACACTCTAAATTCTGTCTGCAGTAAACAATACAACACAAGAAAAGTAAAACCAAAGCAACAGTTTGTGTTTTTTTTTTTTTTAATAACCATGGGATTTGCATCTACTTAAAATGGTATTTCACAGCTTACATATGAGCAAGTATCTGCCACGAATACCAACTAGTGCAGAACCAAAACATTCCACCTTGAACGAACCAAGAAACTGTCCTCTCCAACCATCATGAAGCATTGGCAACTCTAACACCATGTGCATGCTCAGACCAATTCTTCAGAACCTCAGAGAGATTTTAAACTTGATCCTGAAGAAGAAGCAAATGATCCAACATCTCTGAATAACACTACCTAGTATATAATACTATTTAGAATGACCCATCATGTTAATGTGGACAAGAAACTCATGCTTGCCTGCCTCGTACAAAAATTAAAGCTGCAAAAGGAAGGAGATTGGCAGTGAGAAGCGAAATCCAGGCTACCTTTTTCATCAAGCTATTAAAAAAAGGGTAATTTACTTCATGTACCTATTACCAGGTACCACAGACAGTGTAGAGCCTGTAGAGTTGCTAAGCAACCAGCTACCTTTTTTTTTGTTTTTCTTTTTTACCCCCAGGCTGTGAAAGAACTAATGGCAAATACATTTACTGTGTCCCTGGTTAGTTCTACATTGTTTCTAAGATTCCCTGGGTACTGTGGAATGTCCACTTCAGCAACGCCACAGTCGGGATGAGTTCTGAAGCCCCAAACTCTTGCACTGTGCTCTGTGAGGCAGAAAAATTCATTTATTAAAGATGTTACGACACAGGCTGCAAGTAAGAGCGAGATTTTGGAGGTGACCATATGAGGAATGTGGTTTATGCCATTCTCATTCTGTGCTGAGCAGTCTGTGGTTAAAGGAAGATCCAAGTAGTTTATTCCTCCACTGGCCTTAAAGGGTTTTACTAAAAGAGCACTCATGGGACTATACACTGAGAGAGGAAAATGTTACTGGACACAGCACGTCATTTGTCAGCCTGTCAAAGATTTAAAATGACACAGTCCTGCCCAATTCTATTTTCTCCCTCCTAATCTAATGCCTGGTTTGCTTGTTTTCCAGCAGAAACGAACACTTGCGTTGGACATAATTGCATGAAGCTGTTTTGAATTACATGAGCACTTAAGTTGAAGATGAAATAATCCTAGTTTAATTTCACATTTAAACTTAATTCAGAGTCCCAAACATCTCTTCCGCTTTTCTATGACAGAGACCATTTATGCCTTCAAATTACATCAAGTGTACAGATAATTTATGCTTACCATAAGGTTTTTCTTCAGTTACTTTTCCTGTAGCATCTAATGTATCAGTAGCTTTGCCCAGCATTCCAATGGCAGTGTACTTCTGGGAAGGAAGAAGAGAGATGGAGAGATTAGTGAGTCGGGTCTTCAAGGTTGTTCCTTCTCTTCTTTTTCTTTTTTCCATTTTTTTTTTTTTAATAATATAAAGACTGCAATTACCATTTACTTCAAATCAGGACAATAAGGATACTACCTGAGTAGTCAATCCAGCAACTTTGGGTAAGCAGAAGTCAAGATGAAAAGACAAGGAACTAAACGAAAGTAAATCCTGTATTACATGTCCCTGCGATTTTGGTTTTAGAAACCCAAGGAAGAAGCAACATGGAATCCAATTTTTACTATAAATACATCAATACCATGAAGAAAATAATAGGGTGGTAAAATCAAAGTCTCTGTGGGGTGTCATGTGTCATTGCTGAAGCAAGGCACATAGAGTACCTTTCACAGACAATTTTTCTTTTCCTTTGCTCAGGAAAAAAAAAATGACACAAAGACCTTCACTTGTGAAAGCAAAACAATCATTTCCAAGGCAAAGCATTGCAATAGTTCTGCCATGAAATGCAGTGATATCCAATAGCCTGAAGCTGGAGTTTTGATCACCTGGAATCTGGTAAGGACCTTGTGAGCAGCACAAGGAGTGCAAGGCCACTGAGAATATCTCTGCTTGCCATGGGTTCTCTGAATATTTCTGTTTCGCAGTTTTTCCAGGTTCTTCTCTAAAAAATTCTTCAGTGTATGTGTCTGCAGTTTGCAAGAAGGAACTGACCTGTTCCCAGGTCAGTAGCTCTTGTTCTTATTGCATTTCCCTTGCCGTCCTCCTTTTCCATATTTTCACCCTAAGAAGTGCCACGCTGTGGGCAATGAGCACAATCTCCTGGAGCTGACGAGGCTGCTCAGGAACCAGTTGCTCTATGTCTTGTCACAAGGCTACCAACACCTGAAAACTCACTCTCTAACAAGAGTTTGGGTCAGGTTTGGAAACACCATGAGGGATTAAAATCTGTGGTTTGACCCGCCACCTATCCCACTCCATTTCCCTCAGCTTCCTATGTTAAATCCAGAGGCCCTCAAAATAAAGCCTCAGAGAGAAAAATCCCAGTGTTCAACACGCCTACATCCCAGTAAGGTTTCAATTAACTTTACCCCCAGCTGAGGTAATACAAATCTGAACCAAGTCACACAAGGAGGTATCTTTTAGAAACTGGTTGACCAAATTCTCCTGGAACACATCCAAACAGGCATAAGCACTAACATTTGACTCGTTGATGCAATGCATCCTTTTTCATGTACTTGCAAAGTACAAACAAGCTCAAGTAATAACAGTGTAGGCATATAAATCACACCCACAACACTGGACTACTAAGACATGCCTTGATTTTGTTCCATGTGACAACCTGCCACTTCTATGTATTTCTTCAAGCAACTGCCACAAAATGGAAGCAGCAGAAACAGTCAGACAAAAGGCAGAGGAGTGCAGACTTTAATACAAAAATAACTGTATTCTTTGCTTACTTCATGTGCGGCTTCTGGCTGGGATAGAGAAAATTCTCTTCATAGTATCCAGTATGAGACCACGCTTTGGATTTATGCTGAAAACAGTGTTGATAACACAGAGATCATTTTGTTACTGCTGAGCAGTGCCTGTACAGAGTCAAGGCTTTTTCTGCTCCTCACTCCACCAGTGAGCAGGCTGGGAGTGCACAAGGGATTGTGAGGGGACACATCCAGCACAGCTGACCCCACATGTCCACAGGGATATTCCAGACCATACGGTATCACCCTAAATATATAAAGTGGGGGAAAGATGAAGGAAAGGGGGATATTGGAGTGATTAGTGTTTGTCTTCCCAAGGCAGCACTACACGTGATAGAGCCTGGTTTTCCTGGGGATGGCTGAACACCTTCCTGCCCAAGGGAAGTGGGAAATGAATTCCCTCGTTTGCTTTGCTTGTGTGTGTGGCTTTTGCATTACTTACTGAACTGCCTTTAAGTCAACCCACGAGTTATACCCTTTCTTCTGATCCTCTCCCCCATCCCACTCAGAGGGGAGTGAGCAAACAGCTGTATGGTGTTTAGCTGCCTGTCAGGTTAAACCACATTAAACACCACATTAGGACTACTTTTTCCCTAAATATTGCAGATGTCTGGATCCCCTCATAATTCTGCAAAGGCAGGTATTTCAAAGTAAAATTACTTGAAATTTACACACTTTTGGAATGCATGAAAAAGATACAAAAGGAAGAATGGATGAAGGCTGCTCCACAACAAATATTCAAATTAACTTTCAAGTGTATTATGTGCTTTCAGGACCATAAAATTGACTGCTTTCCAAGACATTTAATGATCTAGTTCTGCACATTTAATAGCATAGCTAGAAAGAGACACTATTCAGCAATTATTCTAGAGGTTAATAAAAACATGTGAGCAGATCATCATTATAACAGCATGATGAATGATCTTACCACTTCAGTAAAACTTTAAATCTGAAAAATTGAAACCTCACACTCCATCTTCAGGCGTTTCCAAATCAAAATACTCATACTACTTCAGTTCAAATTACTTTCTTCCTCTTAATTTCAATCTTGGCTATCTTGCTTCAGGCTGTCTGTTACAATAACATGTTAGTTGACCTACCAGTAATAAAGAGATAATAACTGTATGAACAATACAATCCAAATCTCATCACTTAATCTCTGCAACAAAGGCAAAAAGGTATGCAATTTATAAAAAGAACATCTTTAAAAGTTCCCATTGCTTAGAGGAGCCTTTATAGAGTCACAAAACACTCAAGACAGCAATGCAATAATCCACAAAAAAGGCAGTAACAGGTCAGGAAATTGAGAATTACAGTTGTTTTATGATCAGTCTCTGGAGTGCCCTTGGGTATCTACAATTATATATCATAATTCTTACTAGTCTTAATAAAGTTTACTTTCCCTTTGCTAGGGTGCAGGACCTGGAGCTTGTAGAAGATAATATCAGAGTCCAGACTTCATCTATTGTTCCTCTTACTTTGTGCCAAAATTCAGCATTGACTCTCTGTAGACTCTCACTCACACTGCCCTCAGAAACATCCAATGGATTCTGAGTCACTTAAGTCTTTGGTGACCTTTTCTCACCTCTGTTGGCAATCATTTATTTCTTCCACTTTTCTAAAATACATCTAGGGGCATTCTTCCTGTACTTTCAAATTACAAATCACTGCAGGAACACAGACAGCAACTGCTCACAACCACGCTGCCTTCAACCCACTCAATCTGAAACAAAAAAAGAAGGCAGTAGGTGTTGCAGGAGTGGAAAAGCCTGGCAAGTGCAGAAAACATCCCCATATTGGCAGCTCCTCACAGAACACCCTGCCAATCAACAGCCCCTACATCCTTGCCCTCTACTCATCTCAAGAGATCAGGACCCAAATCATTTAAAGATTCAAAGCAGCACCTCAACTTCCCCATGGGATTCCACAAGGGTAGCACACTAAAAGCCAAGATCAAGCATTCCCAGCCACAACTTGCAAGCCCTGCAGCATCGGGCATTAATTCCAGCTTTTAGTGCTGGTCTGCACGGTCCCAAAGCAGAGCCCCACAACTGTACAACAGCACCCTGAGGACATACAGACCTTCCCAAAACTCTCCTGCATCAGGGGAGGGCTGTGTCTCTCAGCTGTTCAGAAAACCATTTTCTTGACATTATGGCAGCAGAAACAAAAGGCAGCAAAGTGATCAGAAGCCCTTGAGCATAAGCAGCTCCTCTACCCGCACTGGTGAAGAGACAGCCTTAAGAAGACACTTTACAGTGCCAAACCACTGCACTCTGTCAATGATAATGCACAAACTCTGTCACACAGACTGGGGGATGTGCTGGATAAAACCTCAGCAAGACCAGACAGACAGTGAAATGCCTGGGTTGTGTGCATTTGCTACCATAGCCATGACCAGGAAAACACATGCCATAAAAAAACAGCACTGGAGAAAAACCAGGATTGCAGGAGCCCATAAGAAACAAGTTACAAAAACTCTAATAAATCTCACAGATCTTGGGAAGAGGAATTCTGGTTTAGAGTCATAACCACAGGGCACAGTTAACATTCTCACAAATAATAAACCATATGTTTACAATAATTTTTCTAGTAAGAGAATAGCTATAATTTGGCTTTTTTATTTCATATTCCGAAAAATCCTAAGACTAACACAGACAGGGAAAGAACAGCCATAAAGAGAGAGAGGAGAAAGGCAAGACTTTATCAGTATACATATTTAACAGTGAAAGGAGGAAGAGGAGGAGAAGGAAAAAGAATCCCCTCCCATTCCAGGGCTGTACAGCCAGCAGAGCTTTTAGCTGCACAACCCACCCAGGGGGGGGACTCTGGGATGCTGAAGCCCCTGGGCTGACTGCCAGGCATGTCTGCCCCACTTATCAGTGCAAATGCCAGACAGACCATGGAACAGAGCTTCTCAGTTTTAACTGTTAATATATCAAGGTTTTATTTGGAAACAAGCCAGAGACTTGAAATCTTAAATTATAACATGTTTTAAAAGCTTTTTCAAACACGGAGGGGCAACGCTTTAGAAGAGCTAGACAGAAACACAAGTAATTATGAAACAAGGTCACTAGTAGCTGTCAGGAAGATTTTAAGATGGCTCCCACTACAAGAATTTCCCAGGCAAGCAAGCTCCCTGGAAGAGGCAGTTCATAAGAGTTCATCCAAGGATGACCCATTTTCTAGTCACAGCAGCAACTGAACACAGAAGTGTAAAAGGAAAATAAATAAAAAAAAAAAAGGCTACAGTCCCCTGTGCAAGAGACTCAAAGCTGGGAATGAAAAGCCATATTGGATAGAAAAAGAAAGTCGATTTATGTAAACTGATATCTGCATGTGGCTAACAAGTTTGAGGGAACATAAACAAACAGAAAGCAAGTGCTCTAGAGAACCTGACAGAAAGAATTCAGAGTGAGCACACAGCAGGCAAGCACTGATCAGAATTGATGCTCCTCTGCCAAACCCATTCTGACTGCACTCACAGCTCCGCAGACTTAGGCCACTGAC